ACAGACAAATTTATCAGGTGAATGAGACTCCCGGGAATTCTTCCACCACCTCCCCACCCCACCAAGATGTCAGCAGCAAGCCCAAATCAACAACCAACAAACCAGAACGGTGGACAGATCCACCGTGCAACAACCGAGGAAGAAAGAGTCGAATTGGACCCCTCCAGAACGCCACTAGCCTGGGTATGTGTGCTCAGGAGATGTGTCAACGCCAGGTTCATCAGTCGCCCTGAGTATTGTGTACAGTTCTGGGCGCCATATTATAGGAAGGAGGCGAACAAATTGGAGGCAGTACAGAAGAAGTTTATGAAAGTTTATGAGGGACCAGAGACTTCAGTTACGAGGAAAGGTTAGAGAGTTTGGGATTATTCTCCTCCAAGAGGGAGATAGACTAAGAGGTGATTTTATAGACATTTTCAAAATCATGAGGCATCTGGACTGAGTGGAGAGGGAGAAACTGTTCCCACTCGTAAGCAGATTAAAATTGTGCCCTGTGGTTAATGCACCAGTACTCAGCCGAGCGCTGCCTCTTTAGCTGTCTTTATTTACCTGTGGAGACATTTTCACACAGATAAACCAGAACGAACAGTCCAATCATTGTTGCTTCGCTGAACCCATTGGGATGGGGTATTTTGAGAAAAATACCTTTCCAATAATCCATTCATAGCCAGTCCCAGAGCTGTGTTCCTCGTTGATATTAAACCCTGTTCCTGTCACTCCGACACTTTCGCGCTGACTGGAACAAAGTAGCATCCACCCAATCAGAAATAAAAGACCCTGTGAGAGTCATCAAACTCCAGCAGAATAGACTCCAAACAAGTTGAAATAACATCCCCCAATCTTATGAACCCCCCAATGAGATAAAACATAGCTAAAGAGGTCACACTGTCCTCGAAACGTTCATTCCGTCATTTCTATCCGCCGAAACTACCACATCCGCTGTGTTCCCATGTGTTTCGTGCCTGTATCAGATTTCCAGCAGATAAATTGGACCCCTGTAAATCATCAGCTGCCGGAGAGAATGAACAGAATTGAAAAGTGAAGCATCAAGAAACAAATTGAAGGACAGCAAGAGGCCGTTCTGTCCCTCGATACTGTTACACAGGGGAAGGTAGAGGCCATTCAGTCCCTCCACACTGTTACAGGAGCAGGCATTTAGCCCCGTGATAGTGTTAGGCAGGAAGAGATCGTTCATTATCTTAAGACTGCTCACGGAATTATTACAGTATAGAAGGAGATCATTTGGCTCATCGTGCTCGTACCTGGTACACAGAAAATATACCAAGGCTGTTCAACTCGTTGAGATTGTTTCACAGAAGACCATTCGGCCCCTCAAGCCTGCTACATAGGCGGAGACCATTGTGATCCTGGAGCCTATTACACAGGATCAAGAGGAGGCCATTCAGCCTATCAAACCTATTTTACAGGAGTGAGTGCAGCCCGTTCAGCCTGTTTTGAGCATATAACACAACAGTTTGCTCATCAGAAGGACTTCACTGAAGTGAAGCTTAAGCTGTCTACTGGGCGTGTGCCTCATGGTGTCTGTCGCCTGGCTAGGACAGATATTTGTACATGATCGTATTTGAATCCAAACATCATCCTTTTGGTGCAAAAAAGCCATGCATTATAATGTATACTTTTAGTTACCCAAGCTACCAACTGTACAGACCACTGCTCTCATGCTCTAGTATATATATGCATGTCATACTGTAGTCCTTAAATTGTGTTGGTCTCTTAATGGTAACATACATATTGAATGTTTGTTCACCAGAGGGGGTCATTTGTTGTTGCTGTGCTATCATTGTTGATATATTTCTGTTGTTGAGTTGCCATTCACGTCTGGGTCTGATGGTTGATGTCTGATCTGTGTAGATGGTGCAGTCACCTCTCCCTGGCCCAGCTGCCTATAGTTGAGGAACAGACCCTCAAATTGGGCTTGTGCGTCTGCAGTTGTGACGCTTTAGCTGGTCGTTCAATTCCACCATTTACGATCGAGATGATGACTGCTCCGCACAGGTACCAACGCTGCTACTTTGGTTGAGATCGCTGAATGTTTGTACAGTGACTGGGCGTCCAAAACTCAACTCTGGAAATGGCTTAGCAGACTTGTGAAAATGAAAGCTGTTTTTTTGCTGTTGCGCCTTGATTTTATCAATCACAACTGTTATTTCTTCTAGCTTCCATAGCTTTTTTACTACCCGAAGGTGAGTTTGAGTGTGGTGTGACATTAATCTTTGTATTGGACGATTCTCTATGCTATCATTAAGCGTGTTTCTCCACTCAAGGATTGCCTTCTATCCATCTGTCCAGGATTTTCTAAATTTCTTTATGATTCCTTTGGAGTTTTCCACTGCTGCCTCAGCTTTTCCATCAGAAAGGGTGGGTGGTGTTGAATTTCCTAATCTTTCATGAAGTGAGCTGCCAGACGAAGTGGTGGAGGCTGGTACAACTGCAGCATTTAAAATGCATCTGGATGGGTACATGAATAGGAAGGGTTTTGAGGGATTTTGGCCAAATGCTGGCAAATGGGACTAGATTGATTTAGCTGGTCGGCATGGACGAGTTGGACCGAAGGGTCTGTTTCCATGCTGTACGTCTCGATGACTCCATAACTGGCTAGTTCTCCATTTGTGAACAGCGGGCGGTTTTCACTCGTTGACACAAAAATAGTGCTTTAAAGCATGCAACAATCTCACCAATAGTTGTTGAAGTCAGCTGGTCCTCCACCAAATAGACAGAAAATTAGTCTACTGTGACACAATGATCAGCTCCTGTGAGAAATTCCCAGTTTTGCCCCACATCTGCAGCCGTTTGATCAGGAGCTGTCAGAGAAAAACAGCAGTCATTGCCATTTGAGCCGTAATTTTATTGTGATTGTGTTTCCTTTTCAGTGGCAGTTCACAGCTCTGCTGCTGTGCTTTTAATTTCAGCTCTGAATCTCCATGTTTTTAGTGTAAAACACTTGAATGAAGCTTAAGATACATTTGGTATTCCCATATTTTATTTTAGTTTTGAGATGAATGTTTGAAATGCCCAGGCTGTAGAGCGAGTGCTGGAAATGAGATGAGAATGTAATTAGGTGCTTGATGACTGGCACAGATATGATGGGCCAAAGGGTTCTGTGCTTTAACATTTTGACCCTGTCAGCCTTTGACATATGTACCTCATGATGTAGGTCACATGCCAACAACAAACAAGGAACGTCGGAACAGAAGTAGGCCCTCAGACCTCTTCAGCCATTCAGTGATATGGCTGATCTGTGGCCTAACTTCATGTACCTGCCTTTAGCCCACATCCCTTAATACATTTGCTTAACAAAAGTTTATTTGTGCATAATTAACAACTTATCCATCATCCGGTGTCATTTGTGGAAGAGCGTTCCAAATCTCTATCATCGTGGTGTGTAGAAGTGCTTCCTAATCTCTCCTGAATGGTCTGGCCCTAATTCTCAGATCATGCCCCCAGTTCGAGAATCCCCAACCAGTGAAAATAGTTTCCCTAACAACCTGGGACAGGCATTTGTACGTGATTGCACGTCAATCCAAACACAGGCCCCTTCAGATTATTTCTCAGGAGTGCGCAGAGGTCCTTCAGCCTTTCATGATTGTTAGACAGGAACAAGAGGAGACACCGACAAGTGTCATTGGCAAAGTTAGAATTCAATCTTCATCGCTGGTGTAAAGTGAAGCAGGTATTAGCAGAAAGTGAATCAGGAATCGGGTAGACAACTGGAGGTAGACGATCCAGAGTTTGGGGAAGGTGACAAGAGTGTAGAGTTTGAGTGGTAACTGCAAAAGCAGGAAGAAAAATTGGGTGGGGGAGAGAGAGTGAAAGGATGAAAATATAATTTCCAACTCCAAAATTACTCAGATATTCACTACCCTTTCTCGTTTTCTGCTTGGCTCTATCTTTGTCTCTCACTGCCCTCTCTTTCTGCACCCCCCTCTCTCTCACACACACTGCTTTGTGTCACTACCAGTACCTCTGACTGTCTGCTGTCTCCCCTTAATTCTTTGTCCTTTCTTCAAATCTCTTCCCACAATACCTCTTCTTCTATCTCTGTCTTGCCATCTTCGTCTGACTGCGTGTCTCTCTCACATAGAGGAGTGGGGGATGCTGATAGCGACTACCATGAACACTTTGTTCAGATCTGAGTTCAAACCGTATCTGCCTCAAAAACATGAAGACACTTCCTGCAATTTCCATTCATTGTGTTCAGAATGACTCCTCCCAGAGAATGATTTCCTGGTTGCTGAGTGCCCATTTTGTTTACATTGCTCTGTCAGTAACAGAGCCTGAGGAGACTGTAGCTGGAGAGAACTAACAAGTGTGAAGGAGTCCCACACTGTCAGAGAGTCAGCGCTGAGGGAGTGCCGCAATGTCGGACGGTCAGTACTGAGTGAGTGCTTCACTGTCGGAGGGGCAGTACCGAGGGAGTGCCGCATTGTTGGAGGGTCAGTACCGAGGAAGCGCCGAACTGTGAGAGGATCAGTACAGAGGGAGAGCCACACTGTCAGAGGGTCAGTACTGAGTGAGTGCTTCACTGTCGGAGGGGCAGTACCGAGGGAGTGCCGCATTGTTGGAGGGTCAGTACCGAGGAAGCGCCGAACTGAGAGGATCAGTACAGAGGGAGAGCCACACTGTCAGTACTGAGGGAGTGCAGCACTGTCGGATAGTCAGTGCTGAGGGAGAGCCGCACTGTAGGAGGGTCAGTACTGAGGGAGCACCGCACTGTTGGAGGGTCAGTACTGAGGGAGTGCCGCGCTGTTGGAGGGTTTAGTGTCTTTTTAAGTTATGTGTGGTGAAACTCAAGTGTAGATTGCTTCTTCCTGGAGCTAATCAGAGTTTATTTTAACAATTGAAGTCCCAAGTACTTTAAACCTACCGACGTGTTAGATACAGGGAGACTGCTGTATTATGTGAATTACGTTTTGAAAATTGCACCAGGAGTGTTTACTCTTTATAAAATCATTGACAAAATAAAGACCTTTGAACTTGTGTTATGAGTAGATTGGATTATTTTATTTTCTCTTTGTTCATTTGGTAATTTCCTTTTGTTTTGTTGATAAATAAAACTGCAATATGTGTTTCTGTTCCAGTGAGAGACCACTTCATCGAAACCAAATAAAAATGTAATCTATCGAGCTAGATTCTCCCCCCCACCATTAGATGACTTGTCTGGTAAGAACATTTGCTGCTGTCATTCACTAGCCAGTTGGGAACCCTCTCCTTTGTCCAATGGGAGAAGTGATCAAACAGGCTCAATTGCTACCCAATCACCAGCGGCCTCCAGAGATGATGGGCTGTGTTAAGATACCTCGGTCAGTGCTGCGTTGTTCACTTCTGAAGGTAAGGCTGTTTCCTTCACTCTGAAAGAAGATAGCAGTTCGGAGCAGGAGGAGGCCATTCATCCCCTTGCTCCTCTTTACTCGTCAATAAAACCACAGCTGTCCCTCTACTTCAACTACTCTATTCTGCCTGATCCCAATATCCCTTCAAAGCCTCTGTGTTCAAACACCTGCAGTGCAGAAACTTCCTGGTAACTGAGAACATGCAGCTCCCTATGATGCGGAGTGCCCTCCCTGAATATGCATGTCAGCGACTCGATGAGAGCATCAACAGCAGATTAGCTGGGAATGGTCAATGTGACAGAACTGGGAGCCTGGCAACTCCTCAACTCAAGGTCACTGAGTGAGCTTTAGCTCAACCCTGGCAGTGGAATTTATAAGAAAATCTTTGATGAGCTGTCGTTGCCACTGGCAAGGCCAGCATTTGGCACCTGGCATCCATAATTAACGTTAAGAGTCAACTTCATTGATTCAGTTGGTGTTTCCCATTGTAGGGCCTCAGCATTGGGCAGCAGAGATACCTGTCCATCATCCTAACATTCCACAGAGCAACTCCCCTACGCAACAGCCTAGACCAGCAGGATGTTGACAGCCTCAAGTGACAGATGAGGTTGGGTGCGTAACGTTTCATACTGAATTATACACAATTTGTCCACTACACTTACACTTTGGGTGATGTCATTTATCTATGACACAACCTCAGCTTTCAGTCTGATCCCAACATAAGCTCTGCCCACAACTCACTGTGTCACTAAGACCTATGACATTGTGAGGGTCAGCTCTGGGGGCAAGCGCCACACTGTTGGAGGGTCAGCTCTGGGGGTGCGCCACACCGTCAGAGGGTCAGTTCAGGGGGAGCGCCACACTGGGAGAGGCTTTGTATGAAGAGTTCATTACAGCCTCAGTTTCACAATCACTCTGATAAGACATTAAATTGAGGTCTTGCCCACCCTTGCAAATGGACTTATGAGTTTGTTGCGTTTCTATTGCAAAAGAGCAGGGTAGTTCTCCCTCCTATTTATCCGTAAATGAACATTACTAAATTCAGCTGATGTAGTACTTTCTCATGATGCTCTATTGGATCTTCTTGTGCATAAAATAGTTATGTTCTCTACTCTACAACAGCGATGGTACATCAAAATAAACTGAATCTTTAACTGGAAATGCTTTTGGAAGAGGCTGAAATGTTGTCAGGCTCTTCAGAAAACAAATTCCTTGTGTTTTAAAGGTTATGTTTCTGCTGAGGAAATGGACAAGTTTCTGGATTATCTGAAAAGCCCCAACCAGCAGCAGTATCAGAAACAATCCCCTTTTTTGGTCAGAACTGTGAAGAGGGCATCCAGGAAACAAAGTCAATGCTCGCAACAGAAATCGAAGATGAGAATGAAAGGGAAAAGGTTTGAACTGCTCATCATCTTTCATTCTCCTAATTAGGCCCCATACCTCAACTGCCTAGCATCCTGTTAATCCGAGGTCCATGTCCACCAAAACTCCACTTAATCCCAGACCCTTAGCTGCCCCCGTTGATCCCGGCTCCTTACTTACCATGCTGTAGTCAATCCCAGACCCCTGGCAACCACATTCCATCCCTGTCCTCCAAACCTGAGTTAATTCCAGTCTCTGCCTGAGCTTTGTTGCAAACTGTGGAATAATTAATTTGCTTGGTTTCCAACAGATAAATTGTATTTCTGGAACCAGGTCAGACTGACGATCCAGCACGATCAAGGGCTGCTGTGCTTGGTGACTGAATCATGTCTGACTCGACTGAGCGTGAAAGAACTATCGCACTTCCCAATAAATTGATTTGTCAGCAGTTTTTGATGGTTCATGATTGTTTTCTGTTAAAGAATTCCTTATTTTGAGGCTCTTCTGAACATCAAAATGCTCCATGTCTACAAATATTTTCTTTGAAGGGTGATCAGTGATGTGACCAGCATGAGGGGACAATATTTAAATAACAGGAGTTACCTAATAAAAGCAGAGACAAGGGCCAACTTTTTCTACAGGTTGAGTGTCTTTATGATACTCTTCCTGAAAAGGTGGTGGAAGTAGACTCCTTGAATATTTTTGAGGCAGAGATAGATAGATTCAGGGGTAGGTGGAAATGTGGCTTTATAAATTACAATCAATCAGATCAGCATGATCATGCTGGACGAGGGAGCAGGCTCGAGGGGCTGAACAGTGCACTTGTTTGTAGGAGCATGAGAAGTATAGCAGCAAATTCACGCAAAACAAAAGCCCACAAACAAAAATGTGTAATGCCTCATCAGAAAGGTGGTAATTCCAACATTGCGGTACACCCTGGTCCTGACTGTCCAAAGGTGCAGTGCCCCTGATCACCTTAAGGGGATGGGAAGTGAGGAAAGCTTATGTAGGTACTTTCCAATGTTGGACCCAGATAAGCAAGAACACTGCCGTGTAGTGTCTATTAGTGGAAATCAGGTGGGGGAAACTCAATTTGTCAGAATCCAAAAGATTCTCAAGCCATGTCTTCGGAATCTGTGACACTGATAACACTTTTTAAAATCAAAACGAGTTTGAAGAAGGCCATTCAGCCTAACCTCACTGTCTCTCCTCTCCTCTGTGAAAAAAAAATCCATTGCTCTCAGTTATGAATGCATTCAGTGAGGGACCATCCCTTATTCTGTGGGGCAGGATTTCCAAAAAAAAAATTCACCACCAACTGAATGTAGAAGCTTGATCCCTTTTGGCCTGAACGGTCAACCCGTTATCCCAAGATTGTACCACCAAAGTTCTGGAATCTCAACAGTCAATCCTGTCAAATCCTCAGACAATTTCAATTCTTTCAATAAGACCGCCAGTCGTTCTTCTCAACCCCAAGACGTCACAGACCCCAACAATCTACTCAATCTCCCCTTCTTACCACTGCAGTGAATCAACCTCAGCTGGGTTTGCAACCCTTCTGAAGGGAAATACTTCGGACTTTAAGGGCGAGCGACAGTCGTGCGGGAGACTTTTGTTGGGTGAGGGTACTCAATGGCAGGAGAACGGTGACGTGACTGACTCAAACTGGCTTCGGGCCCTCATTTATTCCCAACATTAAACACTCGAAACAGAGAGAAAAAAATAACTACAACCATTACCCCTCCCACCCTCCTCAGACTCCGCATCCTTCACTAGGACTGCATAATGGGACGTAGGAGGGATTGTTGGGGTGGAAAGAGGTCATCAGGGAAGTCATCTTCGACATCCAGCGTGAGCGTCCGTATGAAAACCAACCTACTCCTCAATCCAGGGGCTGGTGGGAGACATGGGATGGGTGGGGAGGGGGGAGGGACAAAGAGAGGGGCTCGGTGAGGGAGGAGGAGGTTGGGGGTGGGGTCTCTCAGCCGATGTAGATCCGGTGAAAGTCATTGGCACCAAAGGCAGCATTACACTTGGGGCACTTGCGCTGCCGTGTGTCGTAGCGAGTCTTGACGCACTCAAAGCAGAAAACGTGGAAACACTTGGTCAGCACGGCGTCCTTCTTCCTCATATTACAGCACGGGCAGGTCAGCTTGGCCTGCTCACCAGCAAAGAGGTGCAATGAAGACAGAGAGAGAGAGAGAGAGAGAGAGAGAGACAGAGACAGCGAGAGACAGAGAGCGAGACGGGGGTTGGGGAGGGAGAGAACAAGGTCAGGTTCTATATGCAGCTTTACAGACCTTCGAAACAGCATCATTCACCCCACATCCCTGAGAAAAAGATGTTTATTCTGCCTGCCTGCCTCAGGAAACGCATGTGCCAGAAAACTGACCGATCCCGCGCCCCGCTCCCCGCAGACTGACCAATCCAGCTCTTGTTTCCCCTATGTCCCTACTTCATGGTGTTATCACATCCCCCTCATTCACAGAGCACACAGAAAATAGTTGATCCTGTGCCAGTTCATTTCATTTCACCTCCCCCCCTACCCCCGGCAACAGGACAGTCCTGACTAACACAAAACGAAAGACTCCACTTCACCACCACTGCCATTAAAATGGAGCTTCCTTCAACTAAATGCAAAAAAAAACTACAAACTCAACCACGGAAATGCATTCATTTGTTTTTCTCCCCTAGAATGACTGATTCCATTGAGTACCTCTTCCACCTTGAATACGGAGCGTTTCGGTTGGGATGAAATCTGATTCACCATATTGCTGCACTTATCCTCCAAACACTAGAGTAATCCGGCACCATGTCCCTTGAAATTGGAGGAATCTGACTCGTTCCCCCCAACCAACGGTATCTGAACTGACCTAACGACACCCCAAATCCGCTAGCCCCAGAAACCGCACAGGGCTAGCATCCAACTCTCCCTGTTCTGGGACAGCTCAGACACCTCACCTCCCCGGGATGTGTGTCGATGTGCTGCCCCAGAATATCCACTGAATACCGCCCCCACCCCGAGCCCAGCCCACACTTTGCCCTCCACTGCACCAACCTCCAGGTTCCCCCAGCGGATCACTCACCTTGTAATCTTTAATTTCTTCCATCAGGATCTCGTCGCAGTTAGTGAACATTTCTGGCTTCTTCTGTCGTTCCAGCTTCCGACGCAGCTTCGAGATGTCCTCCTAAAACCGGGCATGGGGAGGAGGGATCAGGAAGTTTTACTCCATATCTAACTCCGTGCTGTCCCTGTCCTGGGAGTATTTCACAAAGACAGTGTAGACACAGCTTTACTCCATATCTAACCCCATGCTGCTCCTGTCCTGCGAGTGTTTGATGGGGACATGTAGAGGTAGCTTTACTCTGTATCTAACCCCATGCTCTAGGAGTATTTGATGAGGTACATGGTGTCAAGGGAGGGTTATCCTATATCTAACCCGTCCTGTGCCTGTTCCAGGTACAAATCAATGCTGACAATGGATTATAAACATGTCTCCCATTTTCCCAGCTACACCAACCTGTGCTCGCTTGTAGTTGAAATTTTCTTTCTCGCGAGCCACACTGCTCTCGATGATATCGTTTTGAACCTCGGACAGTTTCTTCTGATCAGCTTCCAGCTGCAGCTTCAGGTCCTCCGCTAGCTGGGCTGCTTCCACTGCCTGAGGAGAGGAGACAGAAAACAAGGTAGCAGCAGAGGCACAGAGATGGGTTGCGAACGAGGGGAGTAAGTGATAGCAATAGGGAAGAGAAGCAGGAGAGAGACATGGGGGAGGTAGAGAGACACAGGGATGGATAAAGGATTGAAGGGGGAGGGAGTGAGGGTGCAAGGGAGGGTGAGCGGGGAAGGAGGGAGGGAGAGGCGACTATCAGTGACTATTATTTAACTGCACCATAAGAACGTGCTTGAAAATGAAACTCCTTCAGTCACATTCGTTTCTGCAGCTTGGATATCTGCCTGCTCGGAGTAAAGAGGTTAGGCCTGGGCTCTCCCGCCCCCTCACCTTGCGTTTGTGCATGTCCAGGGTCTGTGTGCGCAATGAGAGCTCCTTCTCCATGGCCGTCAGGTTTGTCTGCAGTAACTGTTCCTTCTCTTCCAACTTCTTCACTACCTGAAGCTGGGCATCAACCTGAAATAGGGGGAGAGCGAGAATAAAGAGAGAGACGGGGGAAATGGAGAGCGAGAATAAAGAGAGTGAGTGAGTGAGTGTGTGCGTGAGAGAGAGAGAGAGCGCGAATGCAACAGCAAATGATAGAGTAAGTGCGACACGATAGCAAGAGTAAGAGCAGGTCAAAGAGAGACAGACAGTAAGAAGAATGAGAGCCGAGAGAGAGACAGAGACAAAGACAGAGAGAGAGAGACAGAGACAAAGACAGAGAGAGAGAGACAGAGACAGAGACAGAGACACAGAGAGAGAGAGAGGAAAGTCAATGAAAGAGTGAGAGTGGGAACAAGGCCAGGGGGAAGGACACACACAAACGGAGAAATTATAGCTACACAAAGAGATAGTTAACACAGCTAAGCTGGATGTCAATAGAGGAAGGGAGGGATGTCAATGAGAGGACAAAGTGAGGAACAGATGGCGATACAGAATATGAGGATGACTGCTCCCGGCCCTCCAGTGCACACTGACCTGTGTTTTTAAGGTCAGCACCTGGTCTCCCAGCTCCTCTTTCTCCTCCTTCAGCAGTTTGTGAATCTGGTTGGATTTGATTCGCTCAGACATCAGTTTGAAGTTAGCGTCGTCCTTCTCTCGAAGCTGCTGCATCAGCCGAATGTTCTGTTCCTGCATATCCTCAAACGCCTGGCCAGTCACATCCATCTCCGACAGGAGAGCTTCCTCCTCCTGGGAGGCACAGCGACGAGGGGGCGGGGTTTGGTGGTGCAGAGTGACAGAGGCAGGGAAATAGTGGGAGAAACAGACTCAGTCCCTGTACGGGCTGTGCGTGTATCCTTCAGTGTCAGTCCCTGTGTAACTTAGTGACACTGTACACAGGAGGTCCAAATATAGAATCTGTACATTAGATTTTAACCATTTCAAATTAATCTGCGGTTTATACATTTGACTTTTCAGTAAAGGATAGGTCAGTAAAGGGTCAGTGTGTAAGAAAATTGACCTGTCTCCCACTGAGAATCAACACACAGCTGCTACAGAAACCCTCACCCTGACCCTGTCATTTCACAACTCAACTATTTCAATGCTCCCCTGAGCCCACAGCAGTAAGTTTCAACACATCCACAACACTGCTGCCCCCCAACCTGATAACTCACCCTATCTCCGTAACCTCCCCCCCCCCCCCCCCGTCCCCCCCCCCCCCCCCCCTACCCCCCCCCCCCCTACCCCCACCCCCCCTCCATCTCCGTAACCTCCCCCTGTGCCCTGTACCCCAACCCCATCTCCGTAACCTCACCGCCCGTACCCCAACCCCACCTCCATCTCCGTAACCTCC